TCCCTGCACACTGTTAAAACACTAACTTATTGATTATTATTATTATCATTATTTTTGTTGTTATTGAAACATAGCCCTGAGACTTTAGACACAGGGCCCTAAACTTTTATATAGCTGGCTGTAGCTGTATCTATAAATTTTTAAGGCCGACCATGCGAAGCTACAGGGGGTGATAGCCTCCCATTGAATTTCCCATAGACGACCATAGGCCATTTTTTATGGGATGTCTCGGACTGGTTTATTATGGGATTTGCCTCTTTATGTGTGTGAGTTTTTGTGCATATCACCATATTCTCAAAGGAATATTTTGCTCGGGTTGACGTGGTAGTGAGACAGGTTCTAGCAGCATGTCATGAATATTTGTCAAACATTTTCACAATATTTTGATTTCCTGTTGCCAGATATAAACTCGAGACTAACTGATTTTCTTACTGTACACTTCCATCAATCAATATTTGTAAAAAATGCTAGTATAGAGCATTTCACTCTACTTTCCGATTTCTGAGCTTGGAGTGATTTGTAAGAAAATTAAATATGAACTCATATATAAAATTTTGTTCTCAAACATAAAAATTGTATGCAAAAGAGGCACTTAATTATCAGCTATTTGCATGAATTACAACTGACATTATAAGAAACTAGACTGCTAACAACTGTTGCTTTTCAAGCAGAAATCTTACCTGTACATTATGTACAGAGCCATATATAAGCTTTCCAAAACCATTTCACATTATTTATTTAGCACCCTCTTCTACACCCTTCTCACATTCTTCACTAAATGTAGGGTGTAACACGAAACAGCACCCTTTTCTGTAAAATTATGAGGTTGTATTCCTAGTTTTAGGTTGTTAAAAAGGTGTAGCCGAGGGTGTAAGTTGCTACAACACCCCTTTTACACCCTTAAAGGTGTAAAAACTGTGTAGTACGGCCGAGCATCACTGGCGTCAATCACCACGATAGCGTCAATAGCGTCACGGCGTTGCCCACCGCCCGCCAACAACCACGTTGCTAACAACAAAACCAGCGAGATGTTCATTTTCTTTTTCTTTTACGTGTGGCTCGATTTTAAACGTTTCCGTTGCGGTTTTAACCGAAGCAGTTAGCTTTCCTTGGCTCAAGAAATCAGTATCCTAGCACCTAATTAACACATTACTGAGACTAGCTTAAGTTTAATCAATATATGAGAGACGTCTTGTTTAGGCTCTTCCAAAACACAAAGTCTGAAATATCCAATCTTATCCGATTCAAGCACAAGCTGATCGTGGTGCATGGCTAGCGTGGCGGTTTAGTAAGCTGAGTGCATTGATACACCTATAGGTTTTTAAGGTAGGGAAGGGGGCTTATGGTCGGTATACAGGTACACTGGCTGGGTAACGGTGGGTGCGTCTTCCAGGAGAGGGGAACATCTGCGCCCGATGCACCCGACTACAACTTTTTTTTCTTCGAGTGCAGTTGGGATGTAAATATGTGGAGCAGTAACCGAAAAATCGCGGATGTGGCATTCGCGCTAAGAGTGCCGCGCGGCGACAGAGCGGTATAGTTAACGCGAAGATGACGTCAGCGCTGCTTTCGTATTTTATTTTCATAGAACAACGACGGGCACAATATTTTCCCACTTCTAGTATAATGTTCCAAATGAACATATCACACGACAGTGCTAGTTAAGACAATAGCCTTTCAAGTCTAACAAAAAAAAAAAAACTGAATAAAACGGTGATCGTTTGCTTGCCCTAACAGTGTTCGCGCGATGCACGCACTAATATTCTGCCAACCACTCACTCGTGATGCTTCTCTCGCTGCCCGTCGTTATGCCAAAGTTTCGTCAACGCGATGAACGTTTAGATTATGGGTGTCCCTGCGGCGAAACTGAAAGTCAACACTTTTGGCAGAACACTTGTCGGACATGTTTATGTCCACGGCGGCCAAGCTGAGAATCAGCACTTCTGGCCAAACACTCGCCGGCCGTGTTTACGTTTCTGGCGGCCAAGGTGGAAATCAGCACTGCTGGCCAAACACTTGCCGGCCGTGTTTATATCTCCGGCGGCCAAGCTGAAAATCAGCACTGCTGGCCAAACACTCGCCGGCCGTGTTTATGTTTCCGGCGGCCAAGCTGAAAATCAGCACTACTGGCCAAACACTTGCCGGCCGTGTTTATGTCCTCGGCGGCCAAGCTCAAAATCACCACTGCTGGCCAAACACTTGCCGACCGTGTTTACGTCCCCTGCGGCCAAGCTGAAAATCACCACTGCTGGCCGAACACTTGCCGGCCGTGTTTATGTCTCCGGCGTCCAAGCTGAAAATGAGCACTTCTGGCCAGGCGCTTGCCGGCAGTGTTTATGTCTCCGGCGGACAAGCTAAAAACAGCTAGTTTGTGGCCGGACCCTTGCCGGCCTTGCTTATGTCTCCGGTGGCCAAGCACTTAAAGTGGCCAAGCTGTCCAGACACTGGCCAACCGTCGGCCGATCGAAATTCACTTTCTGGTGCTGCTTGGGTTCCACACGACAGTGGTATTTTGGATACCACATCTTCGACACATTCAACAAATTTGCTCCTGTGTTTCACTTGACACAGTGCCTTGCTGTTAGTCTCGTCCACTTCATTGTTGACCTTCCTGCATAATCCTTTGAGCCTGAAAGGGGCAGATAGTGACACTCTGACTTCGTACCTTGCGGCGATGTTTTTTATCCTGTGTGAAAAATTGTGTATATATGGCAGTACCACCTGTACATGGCAAAAGGAAATAAAGAACTACAGGGTTTTTTCCAGAACAATGGAGTCAGCAAGTGCTTTAGATATGTAGACGATTTTTTGATGTGTCTTCCAATACACAAACCAACAGACAACGTACGTTCAAAGATCATGGAGAAGTTTCGAGAAGCGCACAGAGGACTGGATTTTACTTTTGAGTTACCTGAGAAAAGCAGCCTTCAGTTCTTGGACATCCACATGACTTTTGATTACAGACACACATGCTGGATGTACAAAACTAGAAGAAAAAAACGAATTCTGCCGTATGACTCTGGACACACAAAGTTAGTAAAGAGGAGTGTTCCCTCAGGATGCATGTGGCGAGCAATTCAAAAATCGTGTCACCACAAAGTCTCAGAAAGTTTAGAGAGGCAGAGAAGCAGACTACACGCAAGCGATTATCCTGAACCCATACTGGTAGCTGTCGCAGAAAAATGTATTTCCACACTCACAGGAAAGTGCAAAACCAAGGAGAAGATCTTGGACAAAAGACCAATGGTGGTACTGCCATATATACACAATTTTTCACACAGGATAAAAAACATCGCCGCAAGGTACGAAGTCAGAGTGTCACTATATCTGCCCCTTTCAGGCTCAAAGGATTATGCAGGAGGGTCAACAATGAAGTGGACGAGACTAACAGCAAGGCACTGTGTCAAGTGAAACACAGGAGCAAATTTGTTGAATGTGTCGAAGGTGTGGTATACAAAATACCACTGTCGTGTGGAAGATCCTACGTCGGGCAGACTGGGAGGTGCCTTAACGAGAGACTAAAGGAGCACAACCATGCATGCGGACAACTGCAAGCACTTGGCAACCTTGCAGCGCATTGTTCAAAATGCAACTGCAAAGCTCTCCTTGACACTACTTCCATCTTGGCCAGATCAAAGGGCAGAACAAAGCGTGAAATAATCGAGGCTTTTCACATGGCCTCGGGTAGACACGGAGCGTGCGTCAGTGAGCTATCACTAGCTTTGCGACAAGAAGAAATAGATCTACTCAATAAGATACCATACTTGTCGGAGCAAACATCGGGCCCCAGGTAAACGCTACAAAAAACACACCATCCTGTTCGTATATCAAAGAGGCAGCTACAGCAAACACCATCAAGTTCAGAAGCCAACAAATTCAAGACATCAACCATTCGTTTTCTTAGCCGCAATTTTGGAAATACGGGTCGGGGGAGAAAAAAGAGAAAGAAATTAAACAGTTGTTAGTCTGCGCCGATCCATGCACGTTTTTGTCTGTCCTCCTGCATTAACTTCATTTCTCCAGTTTTTTTCCGCGTAACTACGCAGTGCAGCATACCATCAATACTAAGTAGGGTCGGGCAGTATGCCGCCCCGAATCAGGAACTATAAAAAGCCTAGCTTTATGCAGCTGGGAAGACGAGACGCTACACGCTGGGCATCCCGAACTTGGAATATAGGACACCCTTAGAGATAGTAAAATAACACTGCGTTAGGAACAACTTAACGTATACGTACCTTGCAAAAAAAACCGTCTACGCACCGCTGAACGCCTCTGACGACGCGATAACAACGTAGAACTCGCCTTCCGAACGGGCAGCAGCACTCCGCAGCTCGCGGGCCCACACCGGCCAGCAGCGGCTTGCGCATGCGCGGGTGAGAGATCTCTTCCTGCACGTGGCGTAACACGGCTCACGGGCACTGTACTTCCGCGGTCTGATAGAGTTCCATAAAAATTGCTGGATATCCGGCACTTTTGGGCGCGTTCAATCCCCTTATACCAGTTGAACCGACTATAAACTGTAGTCTTGTAAGGCGTTTTTTATTTATACGGATAAGCTCATACTTATTGCCTAAATAGCACATTTCAATGCATATGGTACAGTTCCCGTTTTTGAAAGCAAACAGCACATTATATGCATTTCCAGAAAACGGGACATGTTCTATTCGGTTTTTCCACGTAGATTGATCGAATTTTCTAACAGTGTAGGATGTCATTTTGTATTCTGTTGCTGATGTAGGAGGCGTTTTTTGGGCCTGACTCTAAGTGGCCCCGCAAAACGGGGTCGTACTTCTTTAAGATATTAACTATCTCTAAATACAGACCTTACTCTGCGCTTTTTTTATTTTCACTGTGCCCTCTGAATGGCCTTCCTCCCTTTGAGAGAAGAACAACGATGTCAGTAAGGCGCTTTAGCACCTCACGATTTTGTTTTCGTTTTTCTTCAACTTGAGACGCTCGTCGTTCAAAGCTTTTATCCAGCATTGAAGCAATCGATCTGTTTGCTTTGGAGCAATTCCATGACACAACACTGTTAAGATGGCCCTCAGACCTTTCATGCTGATTAAACCTTTCTATCGCTTTCTTCCAAGTTCGAAACCCAGTTGAAACAAAGGATGGGTCTAGATGTGCTTTGGATATACCACTGCCCGGCTGAAACGCCCGACAGCAAAAGCAAAAGGCTGCATCTTTTGCTGGACTGTATCCAAGCCAGCTGAACTTTGCAAACCAGTGTTCACAAAAGCTGCGCTTTCGATTATTCGTTTCTGTTTGGGCATAGCTGCCCAGATGAGGCTGAAAAGGACCCCGTGCTTGCCTGGCTTGCTTGTCCAGGTCGTTAGTCGGCATTGGCAGCGACGGGTCGTCGTCAGACATTTGGTTCTGGTTGGTGGAAAGCGTTGAGCAAAATCTCGGAGGCTCATCTGGTGCATCAGCGATGTGGCTTGGCGTCGTGGCACAGCTTGGCGTTGGCACACAATTTGGCGCCGTGGCACAGCATGGTGAAGTGGCGCAGTCGTCAGCTTGCTGGTGGCTGGACATCTTTTCCGGTTCATTTTGTTCATGCTGCTCTTTGCAGCTTGTTGACTGTGCTGCAAACAAATAAGAGAAGTATAACTTTTTAGTTTTCTTTTTACCTGTTAACATGGCTCTTAGAACACGCTCGAAAAGAAGTCTGAGTAAACAATTACAGAACCAACTGCGCCAATAATAAATATATATTTTTGGAAATTTTACGACAGCTTTCTCATCGACAGCTCAGCATAGTCTCTCCAAGCTAACAACAGCAACCGCTGCTCGGAGGCGAGCCAAACACGGCCTGCTGATTGTGTTTTCTATGTTTTAACGTAAACAACCTTTTTGAAAAAACTAGCTTGCTAAAAAGCTAGTTTTTTTTTATGTCGGTGATGTTAGTCGCGCTAGAGTTACTAGTCTGGCCGAGGAGCACTACCTTCTTTGTTCATCGCGACAGAAGTTCGTGCCCTTCTCGAATACTTAATAATTTCTAAAGAGATAATCCTGCACAGAGCGTATACACTACTCAAACATTTTAAGACTGCGTTTTATTAATGGTGAGCACTGGCGCTGGGCACGGAAATGCCCAGAGTTGCTGAGTACGTCAGTGAAGACAGACGGGGCTCTAATAGAAATGTTGCTAAATTTGTTAGACACATTTTTCTTTGTGAGGACTTAAACATTCCTGAGTGGGTGCGTCTCTGACCCTCACTGTTGCCTTCGTTTATGACGCACTTCATTCGCCTCAACAAGATCAGTCATTTTGCTCAACGGGGTCCTGTTGAGGTGCCACGCTATCGTCTACGAACAGACTTCATAGAATGATACCGACACGTGCTGCTATATAGAGACTTTTAATGAAAAGGATATGAATAATTTAACCAACTAAACTGAGATCTGGAATGAATGAATTCAACAACGAAGAAAAATACTACAAGGTCAGTTTACTCGTTTTTTTCTTGGAAGGATCACATTATGTGAATGAAACGGCCTCTAGGAAGCCTTTATACAAGCACTGAACGTCCCTGAATTGACTCATCCAATCACCAAACCAGTACCGATGTGCACGGTGGACCCCTTCTTTCGTTTCTAATAAATTGCACTGTTCTCTTTTTCTATACGGCTCCGGCAATTTATGGGGTTCTAAAATAGCGGTGTCGTTTGCAGTGGCGGATCCAAGGGGGGGGGGGGGGGGGGCGGTGGGGGCGATTGCCCCCCCAAACGCCTCGCCAGGCACCCCCCCCCCCCCCTCCCCGGGGTTCTTCGTCAGCTCGAAGAAAAAACGTAAGCAATCGACGCAGGATGCAGCTTGTACAACCAGGTGACCAATTGCTTTTCTTCTCAACTGAGAGAGGAAGCAAATGCTCTGGGTACAGTGTAGTCTGGGTCTGAGCTTCTCCTGAAGACGCTCCGGACTTCCCCACGACCTTGGCTTAAACATAAGCCCGCTTTCGTCCTCGCCTCCATCCCTCACTGAGGATCAGATCAGCGCCGCAGCGCGGAATACAGAAAGAAGCCGACGAGCGCCAGAAGGGGGAGATGTTTTCTCTAATGGGCTTCATACTGCCTGCGGTACGACTTCTCGTGGCGGGAAGCTAATAAAAGAAAGATAAACGGTACGAGCACTCTAAAGGCTGGAGGCTGCTTACGCTAGGGAGCCTTCATGTGCGCTCATGAAGGCACCCTAGCTTACACGGGGTCCTCAAGCCGACGCCGTAGGCATTTATTTGTATACAATGCCGTTTCAACTTAGGGTGGCGGGACATATTTTAGGAAAGGCGCCCGCCACCCCTTGTCTCCCCTTGGCGCCGTCTTTACTTTTCGAGTTAAACGCAGCTTCTGTGGATTGACGGCAGAGCTTTCGCGCTGCTTTGCAGGAGCGAATATGTGTGTGTCTAATGGAACAGAGGCGGGGCTTGCTGGTTTCCGACTGCGGCTTCGAATTCCCTACCTAAGGGACTTGTGGAAAACGAGCCTTTTCAAAGATCCGACTATACATAAATTAAATAAAGAGTGCCTGTGCCCCTTCGAGTGAACACCTACTCCCAAACATCCATGCTGCAGTCGTGATCGGCCTTTAGCCCAGTTGAGATTCGCCGACCGGACAACCGCTCTGCCCCATCATATCTCTGCACCTGTCCTCTCGACCCTGACGAATGAGCTAACTACTCAGAAACAAGTGTTCTTTTCACACAGAAAATATCCAGACGAATTGCAATTGAATATAATTTGGAAGGGTCCATTGCTGGTTTAAGGTCTTATCTAAGTTTAAAAGTTATTGTTGCTGAACTGCAACATGCTTTCATAATTATTCAACAATTATTCGCTTTCGTTCTCTTGGGTTGCATCCAGAACACGTGAAAACACGAGTTTGGGTTGGCAACGCCGCATGTGCTGCGCTCTAGACATTCCAAATATATCGCGAACAAACGACGAACTTGCCTGACAGCTTTCGTTTCGCTCGCTGCGTCAACAGTGTTTTGACGCCGCGAGCAGCGTCGAAGCCGCCGGGCCATTTTTGTCGCTTGTTTGCAACATACTCGCTCCATTGATTTAAGCCGCTCTTCCCGTTGCCGCAGCAGTTAAGCACAAGCTCCAACGAGAATGTCTGCCAAGGCAATGTCTTTAAGCTTCCCTAAATCGACTGCTCACGTAGTGTCGGTCTGAAACCCAAGTTTCAGAAAGGATAGTGCCACCACAATTTTCGAGATACTTGCCTCTAGCGTGGTCACCCGAAAGGTTTTAATTAAAAGAGTTCATCCCCGACAGGTAAACCGATACAAAAGCTCTCAAGATCTATATTATGTTATCAGAGTTTAGTAAAAACGATAACTCTACAAAAAATATAAACACTCCCTCCCCGCCGTTTTACATCGAGGAACCGCCCCCCCCCCTAAAAAGGAGGTCTAGATCCGCCCCTGGTCGTTTGCATGGGCACCGACAGGACCTTCTTTCTAACATTTGTCACACATTCAGTTTTAATATCCAGCCACTTAACTACCAGTATATACCATGGAAAAGTTCAAAATATTTTCACAATTTGGAAACTCAAAAAAACTCCAAATTAATTAATCAGATAGCATGAATGATGTGAAATGACAGAAATCTGATATTCGTCCACTTGAGTAAGCTTTCACCTAATTACAAAAGATAAAGACAATGTCACTGTTGGGTCCGGCTACCAGAGGGCCAGTACTTCCGAGGACTTTCCTGCGAGCTTGGATGCAAGCAAGTCAGTCGTTCAGCTCGATCACTAGGTAGATAGACTTACCTACCTATCTCAACAAGCTGAAAGCCAACCTGAAGGTTCCTGCTCCATGGAATTGCCATGCACTTTGTTATTTCTCAGGATTTATCATCTATAGCATGCAAGCTGCCTGCCTCAAATGTTTCAGCTGTTGGCTCCATTCAACCAGCTGCTCCGGAAAAATGTGAAATAGAGGTGTCTATTAAAGGAAGACGACGGCTTTAACAAGGCAAAGCAGACACTGCTGCGTCAGGCTCCTGGTGTATCGCAACCACACTGAGGAACTGATCCTGAATGTGCCACACCTCCAGAGGCAGTTGGACCAGTGTCGTCACACAACATCCACGGAGTCAAAAGGCCCATAGGAGGTTAACCTTCTTCCAAGAATTCCATGACACACGCATGGGTATCAACGCAATGAGGTAAGGCAATGGTTGATGCCGTACAACCTTGAACAATATGCAAACAGGCTGCATTAATGCCACCAGAACCAGAGCCACAAGCTTGGCCAGAACCCACGGCGTTATGGACAAGAATTTACATGGACTGCACTGCACCTATCGAAGGTAAAACGGTGCTAATTGTGGTAAACAGTTACCAAGATTGAAAGAAACCACTGGCATCAGCAGCCAGCCAACTCCACTGCAACAGTCGAATATCTGAGGAACACGGTCGCCTGGTTAGGACTTCCTGTTTTCTTGGTGTCCAATAATGGAAAACCATTCCCCGGAACGCTGTTTACCGACTTCATTACTCAGAATGGAATTGGCCACCTAAGGACTGCACCTAACTATCCACAGTCAAACAGACTTCCCGAGAGAGCTGTAAGAACGATCAAGGACAGTCTAAAAAAACTCTCGGGTGGTTCTTTGGCCGCATACTTGCCAAGATGGCTCCTTGTGTACCGTCGCACACCGCCTACCACAGGAGGACAATCTCCAACAGAGCTCGTGTTCAACTTTTGTCCTAGAGTTTGCTGCATGGACCTCATCACTGAGACCCAGGAGCCAAAGGTAGACCTGGAAAGGCCTAGCAACCTCAAAGAAAGCAGCCCTGTCTTTGAAACAAACATGGGAGCTGTAGAACAATGGGGACCAAGATCATCTTCCAGGTTGTCGAAAACTGCATGACTTTGGTAAAATCCTCCATGGCACAATGAAGCACCACCTGGGCCAGTTGTGCCCCAGACGCTTTAACTCAACTCATTTTTAGTCAGATGATGAAATTACCACTGGGCACTAACTTGATTGGCAGTTAACAAGTGAAAAAACCAGGCTATGGACCAGGAACTGAGCAGGCATTTTAAGCAGTGCAAGGATGCCCCACTCAGGCACGGGCGACACCAACCAAGATGAGCCTTTAGCTTGTGCGGCAAAGTGTTGGATCAGGCCACCACCAGGGGTCAGTGTTTCTGGGGGCTTCCCTGTGCAACGGCCATGGGCTTTCTCTCTTTTTCCACACTTTCCAGTGACCATGTAACAAACATGTATGACACGGCCATGTCAATTATTCCCTAATAAACAAATAGGTATGTTCCTTGCACTCCATGGATGAAGCAGCCACCAACAATTTCAACATTGGTCTGTATGGAGTCAAAAAACAAGGAAATAAAGGAACTTCTGACACACAACTATTCTTGATGCATGTACACAATAGACTACTTCCATAAAGCCCTGCATGCAACACGGCGCGCGTTGCGCTCTGGGAACTAGTTGGCCAGGGAGGAGAGTGGCATGGTTTCGGTTTCGATCGACACGTCGACCAGAGATTACACACAAAGCGTGGACTATAAACGGCCATTATCTCATGTTTTCTGGTCCCGAGAGCATCATTTGTGGTCTATAAACTAACCTAAATGGCCAGACCTCGAAGCTTTAGCACAAGCCCGAGATGTATATAGCTTCTCTAAACACATGCTTGTTCTATTTTTGTACTTGAGCCTTTTTGTTAGCGTTTCGAGGTATCTGGACGAGCCAGTGCTGGGAATCTCGACGCTGCGAAGCTCAGGGATCTTGCTTATGTACGAATCAACAGGCTGTAGCAAACAATAAGTATGCATACATCAAGCTCGCGCCTTTACATTATATGTTGTTGATCAGGAAGTTTGTTCGTTTCGTGCGTCCATAGAAGAAATATTACTTTTTGCAATTACTGTTTTTTTAATACGCCTGTGTACGCGAAGTAAAACTCGGAGGTGCCATTGAAAAGCTCAATTATAACACACTTCTTATCTCTTATGTGTACTGACCCGCAGCACTGCACGAAGCGAAGTCCCCACCCACTGGCATTGTACTAATATTCAACATCGCGTATGCACGTAAAGTTATCCTGCAATCGTATAGGCACATTTGCGCATACAAACCGTTTTAAGAAAGCAAAAGTCGAGCACTTGTGTGAAAAATGTTGCACCATTCGCCAGAAGTACGCCGGACGGGTATGAACCCCTATGCGGTGCGCCAAACGAACGAAATTATTCAAAGTGCATTTGACGGTTGCTAATGGCCATAATATTTGTCATGTGTTAGCTTTCTTCCTGCCTGAGTATGCCGCGATAATTTCAGACACACCGTTCAGGCACAGACCTTGGGCGTCAGTAAAAGCTCGTCCAAAAAGGCTTAGCGAGGAGTAGGGGACGCTTGTTAGGGCCTCCGTCGTAGCTAGCCCATCTCCGCGTTTGCGAAAACTTAATCGTCTATCAGCATAAAATTTGAGTGGAAGATATATGATGACACGAGGAAGACATCATAGTAACTTTGGTGCAGTAGTGAGGTCGAATTTATTGCGTTTCCCTAAAAGTTTACGCGTCAACGCTGGGCTCAACTTTGATACTCCTGTGAGGATGCGGCTTGCTTTTCGCCCAATGAAGTAACAAGAAGCGGACATTTGGCAAACAAAATATGTGTAATGCTCCAGGTGACCGAATTTCACTTGTAGTTCAATGGTACTAGACGGGATAATTGAAATTGAACTCAAATATGATGTGACTAAGCCACGTCCTACTACGTTTGCATACGCAGTCAAATATCTGGTGTTTCGGGAACCAAAAAAAGTGCCCCGGCCTTCCTTTTGTATCGCTCGAGAATGCGTATATTGTACATTCGTAAAAAAGTCAGATAATCGAAATTGCGAGCAGTGCGTTCGGTCGCGGCGTGATAGCATGAGATGAATCTGCTCAGTCGAAACCGAAACTGAGTGGCCAACTAGTTCCCAGAATGCACTGCATGGTATTTCGCCGCAATGGGGCGCGTCGGTTTCGGAAGAAGTCCATTGGCCAGCAGTCTCCTTGCAACATCCTGGACACAGCAACAAAACCCCGCCCTTGCACCTGTTACACTGAGTACGAGCGTCTGACAAAAACTAACTCACGGAAAGAAAATGGCGGCAGTTAGGTCTACTGCAAACAAACTAACATACAGATACCTGACAATAATTAAGTCTGCAACTACAATGAAATAAAATGAGACAGACCCAAAAGCTGCAACCGATGACCATGGAGGGGACATGGGTCTCGTGCCTCTGCAAGAAAAAACACAGGAACTGCAAAATTAAAATAGGCAAGTGGATAAACCAAACGGGTCGGAGGCAAAGCATAGGCTCCCAGAAGCGTAAAGGTGCTGCACGGTGAAGGCTCACATGGAAAGCTCATGAAGTAAAAGGATGGCTTGCAAATGTCTTAAGCAAGTGCAGAAGTGAAAAACTTGAGGATACAGAGAGAGTGCATATTTCAAGGTGTGCGAATGACACGAGGAAAGTGAACAGAAGAATGACAGGGGAAAAGACAAGCTAACATGGGCAGGAAGTCTCTCCATAGGCTTTCATGCAAGACGCCAGGAAGGAAAGTGTAGGCTACAAACATCCACATGAAGCAAAAAGGGATGAGTGAAACATAAGCAGTGCACAGCACAAGAAGGAGGACAAGAAAAAAAAAAACATGATACAGAAGAGCAAGTTTGCATGACAGCGAAAGCTTCACATAGGCCTACACGCAGAGCAGAAGAAAAAGTGCTCCCCACAAAGAACCGTAGCAAGCGTAAAAAAATTCAGAGGCTTCATGCAGCCATACGCACAGAGCACAAAAAAAGAAAAGCTTCCCACAAACATCTGAAGCAAGCGTAAAAGTAAAAGAATATTCTGGGACTTCACTCAGGCTTACATGCAGAGCATAAGAAAAAGCAAGCTTCCCACAAAGAGCTGAAGAAAGTGTGAAAAAAATTTAGATGCTTCACGCAAACGTACACGCAGAGCACAAGAAAAAGAAAGGATTCCCACAAACTTCAGAAGCAAGCATGAAAAAAATCCAGAGGCTTCATGCAGGCTTGCACGTAGAGCATAAGAAAAAGAGCTTCCCACAAACATCTCTAGTAAGCGTAAAAAAAAATTCAGAGGCCTCACACAGGTTTACAGGCAGAGCCTAAGAAAAAAAGCGTTCCACAAAGACCCACAGCAAGCGTAAAAAAATTCAGAGGCCTCAGGCAGAGCACAAGAAAATGGGCTTCTCACAGACCCGTAGCAAGCATAAAAAAATTACAGATGCTTACAAGCACAGCACAAGAAACTTCCCACAAACATGTGTAGCAAGCATAAAAAAATGCAGAGGCTTCACGTAGGCTTACATGGAGATCACAAGAAAAAGGGCCTCGCACAAACAACCGTTGCAAGAGTAAAAAAAATTCAGAAGTGCCTCGGTAAACAAGGAACGCAAAAAATGAAAGCTGCCCTTAACACAAAGAAGAAAGCAAAGTAAAAACAAAAAATGAGAACGGCACAACAGTTTCATCAACTAAGGCAATCTAAAACACTAATTAGTTCTCCGAGGTCCTGCCATCGACTGCCGAAGTCCCTGCGTTCAGCTGCCCCAGCCGCCAAATCGCGACTTTTTTCCCGCAGGAACAGTTGCAGCCGTGCATGGCAGAATCACCTGATGAGCTTTATTTTGATTTCATGGCAGTCGGGCAGCTGAACACATTGGCTCTCTGCAGCCATCCTCGCCGATAGGGCGTCCAGGATGCCCCGTGCCTGCAACAAATCCGCAATGAGGCTGCGAAAGACACTTTCACAAATTGTGAAGAGGGCGCGTGCAGCTTCAGAGGGGCAGGTCAGAGCGTCAGGGACATAACTCTTTAGCCTGAGGAGGCTATTTGCAGGTGCCATGGGGACTTGAACACCTGCAGCACACGCGTCACATGTAGCATTATTTTTTACAACTCTTCGTACCACATACCCGCGTAATAGTCAAAGCTATTCTTTTCAGGTTGTGACATGGTGAGTTCTACCTCCTCAAGAAAAATGTCGGTGGGCACAGCAGGTTGTACATCCAAGTCTGCGAGGTCAGCCAGGTAAAAGGAGGCATCGTCCAGTTCGTAGGACCCTGCCTTGGACGCCTTCAGGTACTGCGAGTGTGTGATGATTTTCAAGGTCATCTTAAACTCCAAGAAGTTGGGATAGGGTTGCCCTGTCGCACTACCGAAAACAAGTTTTCATGGCAGTCCTGCGTGAATCTGGATGTGAGCACAAATGAAAAAGAATGTCTCTCAATGAGACTGCTGCAGGTCCAGAATGGACTTGGTAGAGAGGATTACCCCCGCCTCCACTGGCTTGAACGCCCCATCCCCAATAGTGAGGTGGAGAAAAAGATCCTTAAATTTGACCAGAAAGTCAAGGGTGTTCTTGTAGCAGGCCTCATTTTGCCTGCTGATCGCAAGGACTGGGTGCCTGCTGCTCACAAGATCAAACCATTTGTTGACCTGTTCCAAGAACCAAGCCGTGGTGAGGAAGTTGGTGCTCCAGCCATGATTCTCCACCAGGAAGCGCAAAGCTGTGGCCGTGGAGTGACAGAGGACCCGTAGGGCAGTGCTCACCTACAAACACAGAACTGCTTTAGATCATCAAGTGTATGCAATGTTTGGTAAATTGGACTGAAGGAATTAATGATTTGAAACTTCCCCCTCAGCCAATAAAAGAACAGCATGGGCACTAAACGAAGAAAAGGCTGCTAACTTCCATTCCTGTTGTCCATACGAATGGTTTTTGCTGTTTTTTTACGAGTTTTTGCCACTCTCTTAAAGCTGGCAGTTCCACTTCATGAGCAAAGGTGATGAATGCCAGCACTGAAGTACACTCCATGGTTACTTTGGTAGCTGTGCGTTGCTAAAAGTGTCACCGACTCCGATTTGTGAACCACTGACTGATTTTGTTGAAAACACTTTAAAGGAAGCTAAAGAGGTTCTCCAAAAAAAATCAGTTAGAGGTAAATTCTTCCGTATTTGTATCCTCCAAATTTGAATATGCACTATTTGCTCAAGAAGTATCACCAACGCAAAGAAATATTTAAAAAATTCACTCGGCATGATGTCACGTCAAGAACTTTCACCTGGCCACCGAAGCTCAAGCACCATCTCTCGTGCAGTGTTCCGGCACATGTGACCAGCCTTGCCCAATGCAGCGCTTTTTTTATTCTCGTGAAATGGTGCGTCATCTGCTACAGACGCCTAGTTCCCGCTACAATCTTTCACGCCTGACCAACACCCGCTAAATCTTTTATGAAAGTTTATTGGTGTACTAAACTTACGTCAAAACAAACAGGCGAGCGAAAATCGTGAGCATGAGGTGAATCGCACACAATTTGTCGACCACTCAAATAAGCTTGCAATAGCTGCCGAGATTCTGAGGATCCTTGTTGCGACGCTGCTGTCTCTCAGAAATTTACTTCTAGCTTCTTACACCTCGGGAGGGCGGGGCTTCAGCACTATGGTCAAAATGCTTTGATGGCTACTCCGGGCCTCAAATTGACAAATAATTTTAATATTCGTGATACTGGAGGCCATATGAAGCAAGTGTTTTTTAAAGGTACAAAACCGCTTTAGTTTCCCCTTAAGCAGGCACGTGCGAATAACGAATTTTATGTTTCAAGCGAATAAGAAGCTAATAGTGACTTGGGTCGAATAATTTCGAATCGCATATTGAATACTTGCGGTGCCTTTCTGATACTGCCATTGCGCTCAGCTTCCGCCATCTTGACAGTGTTGATGTCAAGATGGCGGAAGGTAGCTTAGCTTAATGGAAGCTAACCTAAGTTAGCTTCCAGTCGTGTGTAACTAGCTTAGCTAGCTACAAACAAGCTAAGCTACATGCTAACTTAGCTTAGCACTCTTACCTTAGTACACATTTTTCAAAACATTATAGTATTTGAGTGATGGATGAGTGTGAACGAGTATGAATAAAAAGTCATTTTAGGTATGATATAAAGACTATCATACCTAAAACACCTAATATCAAGGGGCACACAGTAATCCACTGAAATGAGGTTAGACAAGAGTAATTTTCAGTATGTTTTGTTCACGTTCTTAAGGATGTGCGTAAATTCTGCAGTTGTTAATTGAAGCAACAAATGAAGCTTGTCATTTAGTTCTCCTTGTCAACAGCATTTTTCCTGTAGAGATAGCTTTCTAGTGCACAAACTCAGCATGTGAGCAATGGTTATACTTTGTAAAGGAAAATCTAGCTGGTTTCATTTAGATTATTCTCAAGTATCTGCCTACCCACTGCCAAGGCTCAATTAATTCTGATCTAAATTACTGAATGGCTCTCGCTTCAAATAAATCAAGCCCTACATAGAGATTGTAAGTAGATGAGAGATTTGTCCGTCCTCTTGCTATACCCAAATACTCGTTTTAAATCTTAGACTAAAGAAATGATGAGCAATGATGCACACTGCTTGACGGGACCTCAGTTGTAGAGCAACACATATTCATGGTAAAAGCCAGTTTTTTTTTTTTGGCCTTGAGGTACGCACTCATATATACCAGGAACATGAACAATCATTACGCTACATTACAATGTTTTCCTGAATTCGTCGCACACGCGCGTGACCTCTTCTTCTCTGGAGGTGTGCCTTCCACTCAATGCACAATCGCAGTGCCTGCAAAATACGCACGATCACGGTGTTTTCTCTGTAAGTGTCGCTTCTGCACAGCACACCGGTGCTCGTTAAGAAGCGCACTCAACTGCGCTAACTCGCTGCAATCGCGACTTTGCCAGCACTTAGAAACTGTGCACATCACCGAACGAACGGCACGCGGCCAACTCGTCGCGAGTCCCAAGGGCAACTGATAAGAGCACTAGAGCGATCTCGACATCACAGGACACAGGACACACGATTGGTAGGTGAGATGATGACGTTTTATTCTAGTAGGGCCGCGCCAATCACGGGGTGCAGATTAGACCTACCTTCCACTACATTAATGGGACGCTTAGTACCTGGGAATGGTGACTAGAATGACGTCACGTGAGAACTGTGTATAGCCATAGGCTGGGGATGGCAACATGTGCAGCATGTGCTGAGCTGTAAACAATGTTTAATTTTGGCCATTCGTGTGCAGAGATTAGTCATGAGCTGCACAAATGTTTGCCGAGGCACTTATTGTCACGAACCAAAGTCAAGTGTTCATGCAGTGCTCGTATGGAATCCATAAGCCTCATTCGACCACCATCACCACAGGGTGCTCTCCTAGACACCGTCAGCATAATTACCTCCATGGTCGCATCAGCAAGGTTACAAAAATTGGGAGTGAAGGAAACACTCCCCCTCTAAACTTGAATTCACATCTCGACGCGTGCAAGATAGTGAGGTCAAACTAGTGCTGTATGCCTGCGATGAGAGAATCATTCCAACACAATATCAATAATCTACCCCTTCATACCACACTGCAACTAAGTGAAAAAGGAACCATGACACCAACTTATCATTTAAAAATAAATTGTGTAAAATACAAAAACACTACAGTTACTAACAAGGATATTATATCTGTAAATAATCAACAGGGAGCTTTGAAGCATTTGAGTAGCCTGACAACGAACTTGCCTTCAAGCCGCCGCCCCAGAGTTCTAGACGATGGCAATGGGAAGCTCCCCTCCAGTAGCAAGTCGTAGCCCAAGCTGCCACATGCAAATCGCATCTGCAGCGACTTCTTCACCGTCTCATTAGACCACTTCGACCCCCTGTTGCTGGATCTCGATAGAGCTGCCAGTTGGTCCGCAGTGAAGAACTTGTGCAAGTGAGACCGGTATGTCGCTTCCCTTGTCTTTTGTAAGGCAGCCTGCCTCACCAAGCGATGATTCACGTTCTCCAGCTGCTTGATCTTCCGGCTCATCTGAAGAAAGACAACTTCAGTGAGCCTAGGTGAAACGGGTGAGGGAGAAAGAGGCTGTAGGGTTCGCTCAGAGGTCTTGGCCGCTGGTTGCCACAAACACGGTACAAGAATTGGGTGTTGCCCACCTCATGAGATCACTCCAAGCAGTGCAAGAACCATGACACATACCCAGCTGGTGGAGGCCGCCGACACCAAGGTGCCGAGGGCAGCTGCGCTGGCCTGGCCGCGCTGGTTGTCACTGGTCACCTGCAGCGAAGGGTGTGGTGGTATTGCTACACGGGGGTACGCAGGACCCTGGAAGATGCTTACGAAGCACGCCCCGCTGGTGGTGGGGAGCGGCTGCGTTAGCAGGCCGCCCTGCAGGGCCGCTCCAGAGGTCCTGGCTGCTGGTTGCTGCAAACACGGTATGAGAATCGGGTGATTCCCACCTCACAAGATCACTCCAAGCCGTGCAAGAACCACATACCCAGCTGGTGGAGTGTGCCGACACCAAGGTGCCGCGGGCAGCTGAGCTGGCCTGGCCGCGCTGGTTGTCACTGGTCACCTGCGGCGAAGAGCGTGGTGGTATTGCTACACGGGGGTACGCGGGACCCTGGAAGATGCTTACGAAGTACGCCGCGCTGGTGGTGGGGAGCGGCTGCGTCAGCAGGCGGACCTGCAGGGTCGCTCCGGAGGTCCTGGCCGCTGGTTGCTGCAAACACGGTACGAGAATCCTCGTTTTGCAGAAATATGGGTTCGAGAATAAATGGATTTGTCGCCCTTTCTCTCTTCATGCTGGCCGAGCGGAGAGGGACGAAGTCTTCTTTGTATTTAGCTCGGGGTGAAAGATAATCCTCAAGGGGGACAAAAGTGGTTTTGGGGGAGCTCTATATAAGTCACTGCGACACAATAAGCCAACGGGACGCAGTGGACGTGCCTGCGGCCAGGGAACTCTCGTCTTTTAGCCATGCACTCTCGACCCACTAATTCTGCAAATGGTCCATTGGGTGTTGCCCACCTCATGAGATCACTCCAAGCCATGCAAGAACCATGACAGATACTTAGCTGGTGAGGCTGTCATAACATTACAAGGCAGCTGAGAGTGATGAATGCCTCATGCATTAACTTAATAGAAGCAACAGAATATGAGTTATTGGGTTTTGACTTACATTTCCATGAGGCGGGGTTTTGTGCTGTGTCAGGCTGCAACATTGAATGATGGTGTCTCATGCACTCTTGCACAAGGACCACTCCGATTTAAAAAAAAAGGTCTCTGACATGGAACAGAGATGTCAACAGCCTACCAAGTTCACATTATTATAGGTCACCTGTGCCTCTTTCAAATCATATCAGTAAAAACATCCTAACACAAGATAAACTATTGCTTTTAATTCACTCTCATAATCTAGGTAAATACCAAAAGAACAAAAATCTCACTTATCCTCGTTACACGCACTCACTTGACTTTCAGAATGCAGAAACAAGCTCGGAACAGCTGTGGCTTTTAGCCTCCTCCAGCCGTCAGAGCACCTCGTCTGGAACTGGGAGGGCTCGAAGTGGTCCTGCAGCGAATAACGTTTTGGTAGACGTCAAAACTGTGCATTCAGCCGCTCGCGTCACAGTACAGTTATTCCGCTGACGAGAGGCTCACGCTTTCAAAATACGCGATCTTACAAAT